TTGAGCCACAGGCGCCGAACCACCATGATCACTTATTAAGTGGTCATGCCATGCCATGTGAGTGCAGCCCTTTTAATCTTCACAGGACTCACCCACATGTTACAGGTGAGGAGCTGAGGCCTGGAGAGGTTCTACACGCCACTCAGGCCACACAATGCAGAGTAGCAGGGATGGGGTTCAGGCGTAGCTGAGCACGTTCTTCACATAGCGCTGCCAGACTCTGCGAGGCAGCCTGCTGGCCCTTGGCTCTGGGCTGTGTGACATCCACATGGATTCTGGCAGGACCATCTCTTTCTCTGGTTCTTGGGTATAATGTAGGGGACTATTCTGAGTCTGAAAGATAGAGCAGCTATGGCCAGAGGATGCTTTGTGCTTCTGCATGGATTAAAATTCTGTCAAGGAATACCCAGGACTTTGTTAAAAGGAAGAACCAGAAGAGAAGTAGATGGCATGTTAAAGGCTCGTTCTTAAAGGGGCTTTCAGGGTGGCACCTATGGCTCAGGGAGTAGGGCGCCCAGCCCCATATACCAGGGGTGGCAGGTTCAAACCTAGCCGCAGCAAAAATAAATAAATAAATAAAATAAAAGGGCTTTCAGTACGCCTGACACAGGGCTGTGTCCCTCTCCTTGACATAACATAGCTGGTGTGTCACTCCTCTGATCCTGGAGTCTGACACTTTGCCTAAGGAAATCCACCCTGAGCCTGCCTTCCCTCCATCAGCTCTGGGAGAGCCAGCCCCTGTTTTCAGATCAGACCTCAGGCTAGCTATGGCTGCTGCCCAGGCCCCGTTGTTAGGACCTGGGCTGGGGGCCTGCTTTTAACATCTGGGTCAGGGACTGCCAGAGAAGAACTGGATTTGGAACCCGGGCCCTCCATGGCCTGCCACTACCATGAGTAGCATGCCGCCAGCTGTGCTGGTTGGCATCACCACCTTCCTACCTTCCAGTGTACCACCTGTGTAAGTGCACAATTCTTTGCCTGGGTTCAGTGGGCAGCTCTGCCAGACGTCCCACTGCTCTGACCTCCTGCTGGTCTGGTGGCCCAGTCACAGAGTGGCCAGAATAATACTGTCACTGCTGGGATTTGAGACCCATCCAGCCTGCAGAGGCAGCTTGGTTCAAGTCATACCCAGGTCTGTGGGCAGATGAGAGCCTGCCCCAGGCCTGTACTCAGGTCTCACTGTCATAAGGGAAGATTCGGGCACACAGCTGAGGGGGACAAGAGAGAGTATGTGGGGGCTGGCAGAAGGACCAGGAGAGGGAGAAGGGGTAGCCAGAGGAAGGGTGGATCTCAGAGTGGCCTGACCTGTGGGTGGTGTCACACAGTGCAGGGCTGGGCTGAGGCCTTTGGATAGTGTCAGGCTCCCTCATCCTTCCCTGGGCTTTCTGCCTTTGGGGAGCAGGATAAATTTAAAGGTGAGTGCCATACCTCCCCTCTCTCCTCCTATACTGAGTTCACAGCAGAGTGATAGGTGACTGAGAGCATGAATTAGGGAGTCTATGGACCCAGGTGCACATCTTGCCCCCCTACTTTACAGCTATGTGCCCTGAGAGATGCCTCTTACCCTCTCTGAGCCTCAGTGTCCTTAGCTAAAACAGACAACCCTGGGAGGCCTCTGTGGGGGTTGAGCAGCCCAACCCCATGAAGACCCACTAGACAGAGGCTGAACCCTCCAGCAGAAGCAGTGGGGTGCTTGAGGCCGGATCCTTCTGTTCTGGCAAAAGCCTGTTGATGCCGCACCTGGTTCTAGGACACCCAGGAGTTCCTGCGCTGCCTGATGGACCAGCTGCATGAGGAGCTCAAAGAGCCAGCAGTGGCATCAATGGCACTGACAGAGGCTCGGGACTCAGACTCAAGTGACACAGACGAGAAGCGGGAAGGCGACCAGAGCCCATCAGAGGATGAGTTCCTGTCCTGTGACTCAAGCAGTGACCGGGGTGAGGGTGACGGGCAGGGTCGTGGTGGGGGCAGCTCGCAGGCTGAGGCAGAGCTGCTGATCCCAGATGAGGCGGGCCGTGCCATCTCCGAAAAGGAGCGAATGAAGGACCGCAAGCTTTCCTGGGGCCAGCAACGCACAAACTCGGAGCAAGTGGACGAGGATGCTGATGTGGATACGGCCATGGCTGCCCTTAATGACCAGCTCACAGAGGCGCAGCTACCGTCACCACAGTCCACAAGTCTCTGCCAGACACCAGGTATCAGCGGACTAAGGGCTGCTAGGAGAAATCACAGTTC